CCCCAAAACCCCAAAACCCCAAAACCCCAAAACCCCTAAAATTTAAGAAAATATAGAATAATTTAAATGGAAACGAGCAAAGTTAGTGTTCTCACTGCAGATGGCAAGATTTTTGAGATGGATCCTTCAGACGCACTTGAAATTGCATTCATTCGAGGAAAAATGGAAAATAATGATGAAACTGAGGAAATACAGTTAGAACATGTTGACTATTCTGAGCTGGAAAAGGTTGTCCAGTTCTTACATCAGTTGCAGATAAAGCCTTACAAGATGCCTATTCCAAAGCCTTTGCCTTCTGATAGGCTAGAGGATTTCATAGATGTTCAATGGTATATAGACTTCATTGATATGCCGAAGAAAGATCTTCTGAAGCTGATTAGAGCAGCTAATTTCCTCAACATCGAGAGACTTTTCGAACTTGCTTGTGCCAAAATTGGCTCCCAAATAAAAGGCATGACTATCGAAGAACTTAGAGAGTTCTTTGAAATCGTCAATGATTTTACAAATGATGAAGAAGAAACCATCATGATAGGCAAAGCTAACATTTATCAGCACGAGCAGGATAGCACGATTGCACCTGAGCAATAATTCGTTTTAAATTTTGTAAGTAATATGAAAAAATGAATAATACTGCATTAACCACAATTTTCTTTAAAATCTTCCAGGATTATTGAAGAGGAATATCCATAGTAATAACTTTATCTACCAATGAGGGGGAGATCCGATGCATTCTCTCAATTCCTCATGAAAAATTCTCATTTCTGACATGCCAACGCATTCTGATCCTTATTTTAATTTTTAGATGTTTAATAATACTCAGCCTTGTTTTTGATATTTATAACTGACTCGTTAGAAATTCTGAATCTCTTTCCTTTAAAACTCTAATGCTCCTTAATTCAAACATCCTGGATTTGGAAAAATTTGAGGTATTATGACATGATAGGGTGCTTGAGGGTGTCATATTTTGAAAGTTTTAAGAAACTTTTAGTAGACCAACCCTTCCATCCAGAGAAAATCTGAGTTCATCTAGGCTTAGGATGCATAAGCTGGATGAATCTTTAGTTGCTACAGAAATATTATATTTTCTTTGAAGATTCTAGCTTGCTCTAGTGAACCTTATGGATTATTTTGAAGGTGAAAATTAAATACAGATTAACAATCTTAATAAGCCGAACATTATTTGTCTGCGTTTTCAAATAATTGAGATCTGTTTCCAATATGTTCTCTACTCAATGCCTGAGAAGTGTGGCATTCATATCCTGTAAGAGTTAACTTCATATGGTGTAAATATGAAAAATCTGCTTATTTTCAGTTCAAACATTAGCTTCTAGTGACAATAGATATCTCCAAATCAAGGAGAACATGCATAAACTCTATAATTCTTGCCTTGTTGTCTTCCAAGCCTGATAAGCAGCTATAGAGTTTGTTTCACTATTCTCAGAGGTCTTATGACCCCTCAAAAGCTTGTCTAGTCCACATTTGTTATAAAATAATAAATGGCATACATGGGGTTTTGGGGTTTTGGGGTTTTGGGGTTTTGGGG